AAGAGAACTCTCAGAGTTGCTTCAGAAAGTGGCATGCAGCCAGGCATGGTGGTGCACTCCTGTAATCCCCAGAACTCCGGAGGTTGGAGGAGGAGGATCGTTGCAGGTTCGAGGCCAGCCTAGACTATAAAGTGAATCCAAGACCAGCCTGAACCACATAGCAAGACCTTGTCTCAAAAGCACACATAAAAATGAGGAGAAGAAGGAATAAGGGGAGGAAGAGAAGAAATTAGCAAAAACAATGGGATAGTAGTGTTCAAAGTGGTGGAGAGGGGATTTGAGGGGGATTCATGGCAATTTATATTTTAAAAATTTTTATTCAAATATTCAGCATATTGTTTGATCTTACATATTGATATTACCTGAGTGATCCTGCATAAGCAGTTTAATCTGCCTGGCCTCTGGTTGCTCATATGTAAACGTAAAATAATAACACCTCTTTCATTGGGGTGGGCTCTGAAAGCTAACTCAGATGGTCTATGTGCAAGGATTCCCCTAGTCTTTTTCTTATGTGACAACCACCAAACATGTAAAGTATGCCCTTTACCCAAAGATTCCTGTAAGACAATGTTTTGTACAAATACTTTCAGTGTTTTCTCACTTGATGCTTCATAATTCTCAGTGTTTTAGTTTTAACATATTAACATATAGTATAATAACCTTTGGGTAATCTGGGAACTTATTTGAAATAAGATCCAGCAGTTCTTCATGATGTATTCAAGAATGATTTCATTCACTCGTTGTTAATTTTATCTTTAGATATTAAAGATCTTAATGTTAAGTCCAATTTCAATGACTACCCAAATGTAAATTAAATGATATTTCATCTCACAGATATACGTACTATTGTAATTGTTTGGTTTTTGTTCATTTGACACTGTATATTCTATACCTTGTACAGAATTCAGTCAAATGTCTTTACGTCCTGAGAACTAAGGAGTTCCAAGGAGCAGGACTTTGCTTGCTAAAACCAGAAAAGTCCAGGGCTAAGCGTGATACAGTTGGCCATCCTACTGCCACAGGGAAGATGCTCATGTATTTGTGAAAAGAATGAAAAGTGTATCCACCAGTGTTTTACTAGAGGATAAGATAAAGTACAAGATATGTAAATGTATAAGAAATTACAAGGAAAAAGAAAGAAAGAAATTGCAAGATCAGCTCACGATGCCCACCCCAGAGTCGAATGAGGAAGAGTGCAGAGAGTGTCTGCACACTGCAGAACAAAGGATTGAGTTCAAGTCTGAAGTTTACTGCAGTGTCCCTGCAAGTCCATATCAGGAGGCCAGCGGGTCTACACCAGAAGGCTGAAGAGCCTACACCACAAGCTACAGAGCCTGTGAAGCAAGCCAGGGGATGATGTCCAAACTGAAGACACAGACCGGAGCTCCTCTGAAGACCAGAAGCAGATTCATCCTTCCTTATTTCCCTTTATAACATGCAGGTAACTAACTGCCCTAGGATGGGTCTTCCACACCCTAGGGTTTGGAATTGCTATTTCAGTTAAACTTCTTTTAAACTTCTCAAATTGACACAATCAATTAACCATTACAGGAGAAGGTTGGCAAGAAATTAAGGAATAAATTTTGGTACCACAAAACCCTTCTTTCCTTTAAATCTTCTAAAAACACATGTAAGTGAATATTGTGATTCAATATTAGTATTCAAAAGTCTTTACTCTGTGCTTTAAACATCATTTAGGATAAAATTCCCTTCAACAAAGCAGTTACTATGTGGCAAATATGGCATTTCTAGAACCTTGGATGGATGCAAAGATGTGTCTTCACCCTGTGACATTTGAATCAAATTAGGAAAACACTCATTAGACTTTAGGATTTCCTGTTACCAAGGCATGAGCACCTATCTCTAGCTCTCTGTTCTAAAAGTTTCTGCAAAAACTTAGATACTATATAGCTCCACTGAAGTTGCCCAAGAATAAAACAGTATAAAATAATTATATCTACTAATCTCCAATGACCAGTATGACTTTATGCTCTTAACTCGGGGGTAAACACTAAAAGATGAAATCCTACAAATTGGCTGCCCCCTGAACCTGTGACTTTGATATAACTGGAAAGAGAAGCAAATGGTAGTAGAGCAAACACACAGAGCGAGGGGTGAGAATAAAGTAGAACAGACCAAGCTTTGTGCAAAGACCAGAAAGATTACATAGCAAAACTAAACTGGTCTCACCAAGATAAAAGAAATAATAGTACTATAAATGCAAAATAACATCAGGAATGAAATAGCAGCTACCACTCCAGTTAGTTGTGGACTGAATGTTTGTTTCCCTAAATTCATATATTGAAGTTTTAGCCCCCAAGCTGTCTGGAGGTGGGTTCCTTAGGAGACGATTAAGTCAGGTGGGATTAGAGTCCTTATAAGGAAAAAGAAAAGAAACCAGAGCTCTCAGCCTCTGCCTTCTGAGAGCACAGTGAGAAGGTGGCCATCTCTAGGCTGGGAGGAGCGCACTCACCAGAGGCCAAACCCTATTGGACTTTGGTCTTAGATTTCTCAGCCTCCAAAACTGTGATAATATAAATTTGTTTATTCGGCCACATGATCTGTGATGTCTTGTTATGGCGGCCTGAGCTAAGACATATACCCAGCTCTTCCACCACTCTGTCCTCTTAGCTCCTGGATAGTTTGTTTCCTGTGACCTCGCCCTCCACCCTAACTGACTTGCTCACTCCTATCTTGCAGTGAGTTTCAACCTTGACTGTATCACACTCACTTGAGAGACTAAAACCCTGGTCCTCATCACAGTCCATTAGAACCAAAATACCTCCGGGTTGGGGCCTGTTATTTAAGAGTTCCTTGGGTGATTGCAATGTGAAAACCACTAGACCAAAAATATTCATGCACATTCAAATCAACACAATGCCAGTTCCACAGACAAACGGGCAAGGAATAAAAACTCAACAAGAATTTAGAGAAGAAATATGAAAACAAACATAGGCAGATATTTTACCTCTCTAGTGATCAGGAAAATGCAAGATTATATCTTGTCAAAACTAAAAGGCTGATACTATCCAGTGTTAGTAAAAGTACAAGTAAAATCTTTTAACATATGCCCTTAGATCTAGAAATTTCATTTCTGGTTCTCTTCTGTAAAAACAGTCATATAAGTATACAAGTAAATACATCAAGTTTATAAATCTGGTGCTTGTAGCACTATTTGAAATTGTGTTTAAAAGCCCAGTCAATTGTGAAAAAATCAGTAGTCGTGATACATCTGCATATGAAAAATTATAGCAAAAAGAAACAAAAGCACTGGGATGGAAAAATATACCTATATACATAGATATCAATCATATAAAAGAAATAAAGCAAATTACAGAATACTATGGATGGTATATATGTATGATATAGACTCATTCTTGTTTTTAAAAAGATTCTCATTACGTTAGAAAAGAGACATATATTTACATGTATATAGAAGACTGTCTTAAGAAATTTTTTAACAGTAATTACCTTTAGGGAGTTGGAAAGGAGCGTGGGGACTTCCACGCTTTGTGTTTTGTGACTGTTTTTATAATAAACAAGCATGCACTATTTTTATAATGTAAACAGTCTGATATGCACTCAGACAGAAGTTTATAGAGAAAAACTATCAGTGCCAGAAGATTGGGACCACTTCAAGGCCATACTTTTACCATCATTTACACTTAAAAATAATTCAGGGAATCTCACAGCTAGAAACATTGTGGTGAAGGAAGTGGTTTCTCCAAGTTCTGTCTCGGAATTTTTCTCCTTAGATTTGGAAAAGACTGCTAGACGGGTGAGTCATTGCTAGAATAAGAATCCCAACTGGATATTTTGCCTCGGTGTGTGTGTTATACGGATGCAGGAGACTCCTCTGCTGCTGAAAGTGGAGGAAGGAAATAAGTGATTGTGCCAGTTCCTGGAAAGAAATGTATGACTGTCACAGAATGAGAGGTTTGTATTTCAAACATAGGGTTTCTGATGTTGGGAAAAATATGGAGCTGAAGCCAGGATGTTAAGAAGATTTCATCTCACAAACATGGACAGTCCATGGGTGGTGATGCCTGGGTATCAGGGTTCAATGCTCTGAGACCACATTGTGGCTCAACTGGAAAGTGCTCAGGATCAACTGGTGATGTCTGCACGGACACTGGAAGGGAGAAAGATATACAGAGTACAGTTCAGGTGGAAAGAAAGCAAGAACTAAGAAAGGTGAAAATTTACCTTTAGGGTGAAAACCATAACGTCCTTTTAAAAATTTGCTCCATAAAAAGCACATAAGCAAGTGAAACTCTGTTTTCATAACTCTAACTTAGAGCTCATAATGGCGATTAGTGGTCAAATGATTTTTATAGGGTCCACACCATCTAGCATACGAATGGAACACTGATATCTAAATCTTTGAAACAGCCAAGTACGACTTGGGCACACTAATCTGTGTTAATGTTTCATTTCAGTTCTCTTAATAAAGAGTTATTCAGATGTTCTCATTAGCCAGCTGATGAAAATGTTCACAGTTCTCTATGCCAATTTAAGCAATAAAGATTTATTTTTACTGAGTCCAAATTGCAAAAGAAAGGAGAGAATAGGAATGGTTATCCCAGAGGGGGGAGTGGGTGGTCTGGAAAGGGTACAAGAACATTTTTCATACCCTCTGTACCTGTTGAATTAATCTGGATGTCGCGCGGCTTCCGCACCCCTCTCTCTGACCGCCCCACTCCTCCTCTCCTGACCGCTTAATGCACTGATGCGCTTCCATTTCACCACATGCATTTCCTTTCTTCCTAGAATCATCTTTCTTACTGCAAATTCCTATCCGCTCAGTTGCTCAGCGATGTCACTCCTGATTCCTCTGAACCTGAAGGGCTAAGTGGAAGAACACTTTCTGCTGGCCCTCTTGTCTGCAGATTGCACACCTGCAGAGTCAGCCAACTGTGGATAGAAAAAATTCTTAATTGCAGACATACTAAACATGTACAGACTTCTTTCTTGTCATTATACTCTAAATAATACAACTGTTTTCATAGCATTGACCTTATATTAAGTATTATAAGTCATCTACAAATAATTTTAAGCGTAAAGGAGTCTATGCATGAGTTACATACAAATGTGACAAATATGGCACCATTTCATATAAGGAATTTGGACACCGGAGGATTTTTGTATCCAGGGAAGTCATGGATCCAGTTCCCTAATAACCCACAAATACCAAGAGGAGACTAGTTGCATTTTGTTTCCCGTCAAAGATTTTTTTCCATTATTTTTTTAGAGCTTTCACAATAAACTACATCCCCAACTCTTTATTTTTTTATTTTGAGGCTGGGTCTCACTCAGTCACTAAGTTACCCAGCCTGAGCTCAGACTTGCAGTCCTCCTGCGCTGGCCTCTCAAAGTGCTGAAATCAGAGGTGCGCAGCACTGTGCCCTTCCCCGGTGTCCTTTCCTGGTGATTCTGTTACACCCATCACCAAAGTCAGGTAAGTACGGGGATTCACAGGCAAGCAACATCTGTCACTCCCTAGGCAGGGAAGAGTCTGAGGGCAAAAGCACAGCTGCATCCCGTCTGTGTCCTCCGTGTGCCTGTCTCCTCCCGTGTCCTTGGTGGTCTGGAGTAGCCCGCATAAGCTTCCTTGTCCAGCCGGTCTTCCGAAATATATTCTCAGCAAACAGTGGCACCTACGGCTTGGTTTCTCTGCAGAGAAGGAATCACAAGGGAGGAAACTGACAAATTTAACTGCATAAAAAAGAAAAAGACTTGAAAAATAAAACAGCAGAGAATTTTTTAAAACAGCCCTTTCTAAAACCCAATTTTAAAGAATAATGACTGTCAAATAAGTAGATACAGCAGTGCATTCCACAAGAAATGTAAGTTTTGAACCAAGTGTGCAGGGCAGCTCAGGCTGTGTGACACGGTTATTAAACCCTGGGATGGCATAGCCAAGAATTTTATAACATAATGTCAAGTGAAAAAGAGATATAGGTTATGACACAAGAGGTGGCACTTTAACACCAAGATATGTAACAGTACATGCTAGAAAATAAAAAGAGGTGTATTTGGAAGAATGAGATTATGGGTTATCCACTGCTTTTTCTTCATTACTATGGTTACATAATAACAATTAGGGAGGAGGGACACAAAATGGGCATCTCACTAAAGTCATTATCAAAGAACCAGGGACATGGCTGAGTCACTCAGGTGACTCACATACAAAAGGCATGGCTTTCCACGTCTGTGAATTTCCTCTAAATTCTGTGAATTTTAAATCCCCATGGATGTATTTTTAAGACCGCTTTAAAATTCTCTTTAAGAAAGATTTCCACTTCCAGCATGGGGAGACAAGCTTGTTGCCAACTAATTTCAACATCAACTAGAAAAACTGGATAAATAGATACTAAGGAAAATAAAACCTCTTTGGGGTCAGAGAAGAGTTGCCCAAGCAGTGAATCTCAGAGGCCAACATCCTGGAGAGAAGGGAAAAAGAGGTGAAACCAGAAGATCCCACAGAGGCATTTGTCAGGTAGAGGGTGGCAGGAAGCTGTGAAGGAGCAGCCAGGAGCTGCACAGAGCTCACAGCAGTCTCCCAGGGCCGGGCGGAGGAGCATTCAGGGACGGTCACAGCCTGGGAGCCATGGCAAACACCAGGAGCGCTCTGAGAGCCCCCTAAGGACTGTGGCTCCTGGAATAACAGAGAAACATTGAACTAGGTCCACATGGCCAAAAAGCCCAGCTTTGCCTCAAGGTAAAAAACTATTAACAAGCATCCTGAAGTAGTAACTCACAGAGAAAGTGAACCAAAAATAAGCAGCAATGTGGGCAGGTTGAACACACAAGATCTGATAACTCACACACTACCTAATTATGGCAGAAAGCACATTCTTTTGAAGTGCCCAGTGCCTTACTAAAATTTGTGCTGTGTCAACAGTAAGTCTCAACAAATTGCAGAGATTTTAAATTATATAGGAAATATATATATATATATATATATATATATATATATATATGGCACAATAAAAATAGCTATAAAACAAAAACATAAGAAAATCCCCCAAATATCTGAATGTTAAGTGATACACTTCTAAATGATCCATAGAGCAAAGAAGAATCATAATGGAAATTGTAAAATAGTCTAAATTAAATGATAACAAATATATGACATCAAAGTATGTGGGATGCAACTGAAGCTAGGCTTAGAAGGCAATGTATGACTTTCGATGCATGTGTTTGAAAAGTCAGCTGTGGTTTTTTTAGAAAGTTCAAAAAAGATCTAGTCACTTAAAGTCTCCAATCCTTGAGTTTTCATCTAGAAAATGGATTTCATCACCATGGTTACCACAAAGGGTAGGGTAGGTTAACTAACAACATGGCATCCCCTTGCTCGTATCTGATAGGTCAGCAGGCTCAAAATGGCAGCCATCACCATTATTGCTCTACGATGTGTTAATAATATTCTTAGTCCTGTCCTCTCTCATTATTTTGAGAGGGTATAAATTTGAGGCCCTCTTTCATTCATCCACTTTGAATGTCACATGTCACATCTGTCCCGTGAGTCTCCCCATCTTTTTTCATTATGTCTCAGCTCTCTACACTCTGCTTTTTCTCTTGGATAACTAGAGCCCAGAATGATGAAATCCACATTGCCTTCATGTGGGGGTCCTTCATAGAATCCCCAGCATTCAAAGTGCAGGTTCTAAAGTCAAAAGAACTAATTTCAAACATCTAGCCCCACCACCTGTAAGGGGGTGACCTTGGGCATGTTATTTAACCTGCACAAAATTCAGTTCTTTCTTGTGAGAGAAAAATAGTAACAGCAACTACTTTACACTCTTATAGACAAAAACCAGAAGCTTGTGATAAAGTAGTTTACAAGAATTCTCAAATCATTGGGTGGATAAATTTATTCATCTGACTCTGCATTAGTTATGTTTTGCCAAAATCCTCCTTTCCAGTTAGCTTATAGCACTCTTGAGGATATTTAGTGTTGACTCTAAAACTTCTTTGTTGCTTTTGTTTTCTTGGTTTTTGTTTTTGTTTTTGGAAACACAAGGGATTAAACCCAAGGCCTTTGCACTGGACTCCATACCTAGCCCCTTTTTATTTTTTATTTTTGGACAGGATCTCACTAAGTTGCCCATGCTGGGCCCAAACTTGTGATCCTTCTGCCTCAGCCTCCCAGAGGGCTGGATTACAGGCAGGCACCAAAACTCCCAGCTGTATTTGTTCATTTTTGTTGTTGTTTTCATTGTTGCTTTGAATAGCATTGTTTCCATTCTTTATATTGAGACTTGTCCAATGAAGAGATCCTGGAGCTGACTGCCTGCACTGAAATCCAAACTCTGCCACTAAGTCACTGGAGCTCTGAGTACTCTCTATCCCTGGCTTCTTCCCTGTAAAGTGAAAATCATCTTTTGTTAGGGCATGTTTGCAGAACGGAGTGATCACATTTATCCTGGAGAGTCTGTACATGTGCATCACACTTCTCGATTCTTTTTATTGCCCTTATCCCCACCCCTGCCTGTTCCATCCACTTCTTGACCCCCTTCCCATCTGCAAAGGCTTTTTCCATTTTTTCTTTTTTATTTCTTCTTCCCTTATTCCTCCCTTCCTCCTACCCCCATCTCTTTTTCTTCTCCCCTTTTGAAAAACACTCTACTTCCTATTATTTTGTGCCTTTTTTCTTTGTTTTTGATAACAGGGATTGAACTCACAACCTACCAGGCAGGTGCTTATGCCACTGAGCTAAATTCCCCTGTCTCTTATTTCACTTTTTATTTATTCTTTGGATTTCCCATACGGGAGAAACTATGTGATATTTAAGATTGTGTGTCTGATTTATTTCACTTAATCTTATGATCTCAAGGAGCCATAATGGAACGGAAAAAGTTTATCCATTTCCCTACAAATGCCTCAAGTTTATTCTTTATGGTAGAGTCAGACCCCATTGTATATAAAGACCACACTATCCATTCATCTGTTGATGGATATATAGGCTATTTCCAAGATTTAGCTATTGTGAGTTGTGCTGCTATAAACGTGGATTGCATGGATCACTGTGATATGATAACTAACTCTTTTGGGAAGATACCTAGAAGAGGAATAGCTAGGTCAAATGAAATTTCTAGTTTTAGTGTTCTGAGGAATCTCCATACCAATTTCCACAGTGGTGATACCAGTTTACACTCCAACTAACAGTGGAGAAGAGCTCCTTTTTCCTCCAAAGCCTTGCCACCATTTGTTACTTGATTTCTTGATAGTAACAACTTATTCTGCAGCAAGGTGGAATTTATTTTAATTTGCATTTGCCAAATGGCCAGTGACATTGACTGCTTTTTCATAATTTACTGGCCAAGTGCACATTTTCTGAGAAATGTCTGTTCATGGCAATTGTCATTCTTTGCTTAATCGTTTTGCACAGTGGTTAAGAGAGTTGATGCCATGTGAGTGCTTAGAAGTGCAATAGGCATCCAAAGGAAGAAAGTGCTCAGATCTCTGTCTTCCCCAGGGAAGGCAAGGACCTCTGTGGCTTTGTCTGCTTGCATTCTGGAGATCTCATCCAGTGCCCCTGCTTTTCCTTCACCTTTCCAGAAAGAGCCAGTGTTGGGGCCTAGAGGAGAAGCAAAAGACAATTGTCATCCCACTCAGCCCAGCAAGGAGATATTTTTTCCCCCAGCATCAACATACTCTGCCGGGACTGGATGACAGCCAATGGCTCCTTCTATAGGCCTTCAAGGACCAATCCTTCCTGTGCATCCTCACAAACTGTGATGGTCCCTGTGAACTTTGACCTGAAACTTCCAGCCTAGCTCAGCTTGCAAGTCACTACCCCCAGTTCACCTCCCTCTTCCACACCCTGTATCCAGCTGAGAGTTCCCTGGTTCTTACAAGAGGCAAGAGCAGCATGTAAGACCCACATCCTGCTAACTTAGCAAATTAGCCCTCCCCTGAGGTCTCCCTTCTCTACCCAACAAGTCGGCTCTGTTCTCTGCTGGGCCTTCTAATAAGCCAGGGTTGAGGAACTGGTACAGGTAAAGTGACACCCACACATGCTGAAAAAGTGGTTTCCCAGCAGGTCCAGGCCACACTTCCTTGACCCTAGGATGTGGGGTCCTTGCTTCCTCTCTCAGCTGTAAGCCTTAGTGACTGATTCAGTTACATGACACCCAACACCACTCTGAGACATTTAAGTTTCTAAAAGAATGTGCAAAATTGCTTTCAAAGTATATTTGAATGAGTTAGTAAATAAAAAATATTACAAACCATATTATAGTAACAAAGTCATAAATTAAGTGACAATGATACTACAAATATAAAGATATTATAAATATAATTATTAAAATGACAAATAAATCTCTTTTCTTTATTATTACACAAGTATGGCATGAAGCCATGTGAAATCAATGCTTTTGTAAGTCAAAATGAAGACAGATGTTGATAATTTCATATGGACCAACCAAATGTTAACTCTTTCTATGGGTCAGGTGTTGTGCCAAGGACTTCACCAATACCCACTAATCCTCACAGCGAACCTATGAGAAAATGATTGTTGTCAAGTGCAGTTATAGCCAAAGAAACTGAGGCACCCGCAGTGTCTTATTCAAAGCTCACAGGGCTGGTACGTAGGTGCCGAGCCCCAACAGGAGCCCAGGAAGGCTGGCGCCAGGGTCATGCCCTTAGTGGCTGTGCTACTTTGCAGA